GCTATGAGCCTCCCGTTCAGGAAGCTGTTTAAACTTGATTTGGACAAAGTGTGCGCATACATGGAAAACCAAATGCATTCAGAGACTCTGTCTTTCAATATCAAAAACAACAAAATAAATATAAAAAAGTAACATTTTACTTTATACTGGTTTGGTGGGTATTCTCTCGGGGTATTATGTTTCTTTCTCTTTACAGGAACCACGCAATTCCCAATTCAGACCCAAAACGGTGAGTAATATTTAATATTTCGATATGTTTGCGTTTGACATTCAATGATGTTTTATTTTTCGTCTCTGACAACTTTGTTGAAAGAAAAACAATCAAGCTGAGTGCCAAATTAACCTTTTTTTATTTTTTGATAAAACACCAATATTTATTTATATAAATCTGTATATTTTTATATATACTTGCAGGAATTCCCAGGAATTGCAGCAGAAAATAAATAAAAATGGTAAGCTGATATAATATATAAATATTTATATAATTTAATGATGAATTTTTATTTGCTACTCTTGAACAATTTCATTGATGAAAATTACACCTTTGCAACTGAACTTAATTACTCAAATCATTGTTTTTTTTCGCTTTATACATTGGGATATTAATTCTTAATTTATTTATTTTATTTCAGATACATTGCGCACTATAGGAAATAACTCAATGTTCCTTTGAAGTTGCGAGGTAAGTTTCTTTATTTAATTAAACATTTTCGTTTACATAGTAAATTTCCATTATTGATGAATTCTTATTTGCTACTCTTGAACAAAGTAATTGATGAAAATTACACCTTTGAAACTGAACTTATTGAATCAATGCTCTAATGGTGCAAAAATATTCTTTATTTAAATTAATTCATGATTTTCTATCGTTTCAGAATAAACTTTGAATGGTTGGATGATCGTCAATTCAATATTAAAAAGAAACAGGAATATAAAAAAATGTTCAGTTATCCAGAAAATTGATTAATGGACGTCCCAGGACGTTAAACAATTATCTCAAGGTTCGTTTGTGTATATAAAATAATTTAATTTTCGATTATACCGTGATGACAAACTTACCCAGCTCGCTTCGATCTACCATGAAGAGAACTGTTCCTAATCCAACGCAAAATTTATTAACTTCTGATGTTATTTACTTTAAATTTGTTATTAACAAAAGTACTGCTGATCTTATTTGAATCATAACTTCTCTCTTTGCAGTGTATGGCAATGTGATCGATTAGGAGGACAACTGATTTTTGATGCATATGCTACAAAGGTTCGCAAAACATATTGCTTATATATGAATACATTTTCATGCTAGGAATATATGATGATTTATCTACGGATTCCCCATCATTTAAACTATAAATGAAAAAGCAATCCACTGAAATTAAAATATTTATAAAGGCAAAGAATAGTCCGTTTTATACTCATAGCTAGTCAAATTAATCTGTACAGTTCTTTTTAATTTAAATTGAAGAAATTCAAACATTTATTCACCTGTTTGTTCTATACAATATTATTATTTCTTAAGATAAATGTATTTGTTAAACGTAGTTATGTGCCGCTTGGTTATTAGAAGAGAGAAGTAGATGTCTAAGATTGAATTATAATTTATTTATAATATACGAGGCCTAAACTAAACTAGAATTTCAAACTTTTTAAGATCAATATTAAATGAATCCAAATTTTCCTTCAGGCAGATGACCGTATACAGGAAATTAATTGATGGATATCTAACGCCGTTCAACAATTATCTCAAGGTTCGTTGACATATTTAAAGCAATTCAATATTGATTATTACTGTGATGACAAACTTACCCAGCTCGCTTCGATCTACCATGAAGAGAACTGTTCCTAATCCAACGCAAAATTATTCACATCTGATTTTATTTACTGTATAAATTCTATTATTAATAAGAAATGTAATCTTAGTTTGATCATAACTTATCTCTTTACAGTGGAATGGCAATGTGAATGATTAAGATGACAACTAATTTTGGCGATGCATTTGCTACAAAGGTTCGAAAAACATATTGCTTTTATATAAGTACATTTTAATGTTAGACAATGAGTAAATTTTAATGCTAGGAATATATGATGATTTATCTACGGATTCCCCATCATTTAAATTATAAATGAAAAAGCAATCCACTGAAATTAAAAATTTATAAAAGCAATTAATGTACCGTTTTATACTGATAGCTAGTTAAATTAATCTACAATTCTTTTAAATTTAATTTGAAGAAATTTAAACATTTATTTGTATGTGAGGATTCAAAAACATATATTGTTAATTCTTTAGCTTATGTATTTGTTTAAACTGAGTTTGATAGATATAAATATGTGAGATGCTTTGTGATTAACATACATAGACATTTAAACTTTTTAAGATTAATATTTAATTAAATTACCTGTTTCCTTAGGTAGATGACCGTACACCGGATAGATATCCAAGGCCGTCCAACAATTATCTCAAGGTTCGTTAACATATATAAAGCAATTCAATATTGATTGTTTACTGTGATGACAAACTTACCCAGCTCGCTTCGATCTACCATGAAGAGAACTGTTCCTAATCCAACGCAAAATTTATTAACTTCTGATGTTATTTACTTTACAAGTGTAATTTTTATTATATGTTATCCTATTTTAATCATACAATTATCTCTTTACAGTGAATGGCAATGTGATCGATTAAGAGGACAACTGATTTTTGATGCATTTGCTACAAAGGTTCGATAAAAATATTGCTTATATATAAGTACAGTTTAATGCTAGAAAATATGATGATTTATCTACGGATTCCCCATCATTTAAACTATAAATGAAAAACCAATCCACTGAAATTAAAATATTTATTAATGAAAAGAATAAAATCAGTTTGTTTTCCAATTTTTACTTAAGAGAAGTAATTATCTAAGATTCTTTTTGTTTTATATACAGGGCCAAAAGTGAACTAGACATTTGAACACTTTAAGATTTATATTAAACGAATTTTCCATTTTCTTCAGGCAGATGACCGTATACAGGATGAATATTCAAGGCCGTTCAACAATTATCTCAAGGTTCGTTGACATATTTAAAGCAATTCAATATTAATTATTACTGTGATGACAAACTTACCCAGCTCGCTTCGATCTACCATGAAGAGAACTGTTCCTAATCCAACGCAAAATTATTTACTTCTGATTTTACTGTATAAGTACTATTATTAAAAAATATGCAATCTTATATTAATCATACCCTTATTATCTCTTTACAGTTTATGGCAATGTGAATGATTAAGAGGACAACTTCAAACTAAGCTTTTTGGAATAACCTAATATAATCAGTATATGACAGTTGATATTGATATATTTATCCTTACTGGCTGGAGAACATGCAGAACCATTTTTCCTTTCTTAATTGGGGTAGATAAACAGACATTATGCTTTGAGATTAAAGCTGAATCTAGCAAAGTAAGTTAATAAAAATTTAATAATAATTTATCTTTTTATGATGAACTTTTATTAAAATTGAAATCCCATGTGAATGGTTTAATTTAAGATAGTAGAACTGATTATGCCATGCAAATTTAAAAAATCAAATATATTTACATAAAATCGTAACAGTATTTTTTGTTTTGTAGAATAATTACCTCTTCCCGGGATTGTTTACCTAACCAAAGGTAAGTTCATTTAAAATATGTGCAACCCGCGATGTTGGATCTACCAGGAAGAGAAGTGTTCCTCGACTAACGCAATATAATTATTTCCTAGTTATTCTTATTTTTAATGAATACATTTATAAAAGCACATGATTTATAACGGAAAATTGAATAAATAATTCTTTTAAATATTGCTACTGTACTTAATTTCCCCACTATTTCTGGCTGATTAGTGGTTTATCCATTCCAGATAGAAGTTAATGGATTAGCATTATTTAAAATTTTGGCAAAAAAAATGATTGTTTTATCGCCTGGTTATAAAATCATGCATTCGTGCGTGTTGCATCCAAAAACTGGTCTGAAATTACGGAAAAGTATATTTCATCCGATAAGTTTCAAACGTTCCAAAATAAAATGTATTGGAATCATTTATTTTTGTATAGATTGGGCCCCGGTTTAAGCAGACAAAATATTTGTGCCATTAAAATTAAAGAAACAACTCGTTTTTATCTAACATTCATATGTAAACTATGCATACATATGTATGTAGTTGGCGATATATGTGAGCCTGTGACGAATGTACCCTCTGGCCCAAATCAAAAATACAGAATTTGAATTTATTTGACGTGAATAAAGAGCAGTACCATCAAAATGTTTGATTAAAACACTAAAAAACAGGGGTAGGACATTTTGATAAGGTCGCTGTGAAGCATTGAAAAATATCGATGCGTAGTTTGGATATCGAATTAGTATATCGATAACATACATCCAAGCATCAGCTGTTCTTATATTTTGTAGCGAGTACAAGACTCGCCGATCTGAGCAATATGAGCGGGATTCCTGATTTAGATTTCGTCGATCAGCTCCATAATATATGTGCAGTGTGCTCAGAAAGAGCAACTCCGAGGTTGATTTGATTTCATTTTGCTTGCTTGAGTGACTGTTCTCTTTGTTTACCCCTGTTAAAATCTAATTTAATTAAAGGTTAGGCAATGTTAAAATTACCGCTATAACATAATACAAAAAAATCTGCAAGTAAACTAGACAAATATTTTTCACACTTGCATAATTTTGTGCTGTCGCGCATTCTTACCCAAATCAGTGTTCATAAATTAAAATCCGATTTTGGAATCCCATTACTTATATTAGTAGTCGTGTTGGTAAAAAAAATAAGGATATATCGAGAAAGTTCGTTTTTAAATTAAACTTATCGATACTTAACTCCCAAGCTACAGCTGTTTTGCTTTATGCTGAGTAGAGAACTAACAGTTTAGCTGTTTTTGTAACAGTGCCCTTTTGAAATGTGTCTACAGCGGTTTCTGTTAACAACAGTATTCAGTTGTGTTACGGAAGCATCGGAGCTCTGTTAATTTTTCAGTTTTTGTTGCGCGAGGTTTGGAGAGCGGTTGTGTGATATTTTCAAGCGTTTTTAATTATAAATTTACCGCATTTTAATTGCAATTGGCACAAAAATTGTGTAGCAGTAACTCTTTATTGATATTACATTGATAATGTTCAAGAAAAAAAAGTTCTATATGTAAAAGATCGCGCCGTCGGGTCAAATTTATGCTGCTTAACGAAATTAAGATACATATATCACTGGCGTATGTATATGTATATGTAAATCAACAAATACTGATGCATACATATGACTGTATCTGTATCTGTATCTGTTCACATATGTGTCTGCCTTTGTATGTGTAACGTGTTGCTTTGCGATCGCGATCGTCATCGTCTGCATTCGCTTGTGTTTATTTGTGTGTATGTGTTTCTGTGTGTGTGTGTAGTGGTAGCGGCAAGTGCGTGTGACGAATACAAGTTGGCAAGAATATAAAAAAAATTGAATAAGTGCAAATGAATCAAATAAAATTAAATAATTAATAATGTATGCTATAAAATATGTTAGCATAAATAATGTATATCCAATAAATATTACAATTACCGTATGCATGTACAATTATATGTATATATGTATATGAATACATACATATCTTTATCAGAGTGCACGTACATGTATGTATGTATATATTTGCAAAGTATCAAATGAGTGCCAATTTCTTAGTGAGGATTGTCGCCAATTCTAATCTTCTCGGGCCAGTGTCGAATCGTTAAACCTAAAACCAAGCGAAATATTCCAAAAACTTAAAGACGGAATAAGTGCAGTTTTTGCTGTTTTACCGTCGGGCAATTGAAAAATGCAATATTTTGCGTTCTTTAAGAAAGTACGCATAAGCAACCTAACAAATTGTAAGTATAGCTGTATTGCATTTGTATAAATGCATGTGTATCTGTACATGTATTTAAATACGGTACCCTTAAAGATTGGTTTTCAAGTTGACGGCACGAAAATCATAACGTAAATTCCTCGAATTCACGCAAAAACACAAATACTTGAACACACACACACACGCACACACACATAGATTGATGTTTGTTTATATGTGTGTATATACATAAATAGGTTTATTTGCTGAAAATACGAAACATTTTTCGTATTCTCTTCTTTTTGTTTTGTTACGCTCGTTTTTTTTCTACCTGTTGATATCCTACAATCACGTCTCTAAATAGAAACTCGTTGTGTCATTAGTTTTATGCCGCCACTGTTGTTGTTTTTGTCGTCGTCGTCGTCGTCGTCGTGGTTTTTGGTTCGCTTGTTACCTTGAACTAATAGTTAGCCCTATTCCCTGCTGCGAGTACACACACACACACGTACGCACACACGCTGACAATCACAATCTGTTGCGAGGCCCGCACCTCACCAGGTACATATCTTGTATATATATGTATGTATGTATGTACATGTATGATGCCCGTTCGAACTTCACATAGCCCTACGCAGAGTCACAACACACTGAGATACTCTCGGACGTTTCGAAATGCTCAAGTATGCAAGCATGTGTGTGTGTATGTGTAAATGTGTGCATATGTATATCTTTCATACGTTTGTTCGTATTCCATTGGCTGCTTTCTGCATGTGAATTTGGTCTCTTCGAAAGAGAGAGTGGCGACGGGTAGGGTAGGGCAGGGTAGGGGAGGGCACTCAACACAACAACACTCTTGTTCTAGGAAGACCTCTTCTCGATCTCGATCGGTCGGTCGGTCGGGGGACTGAGACCTTTTTAATTTTACTTTTAATTAGTAGGAAACAATATGACATATCGATTTATCCACATATATACCCATATAAATGTACGATGATCGCACTACCTGCTAGAAGGTGGCTATGTTTATTGTGACCCATTAATACATATACTGAAAAGCTGGTTTATATTCACGCATATCCCTAAAAAAAAAGCGGGAAAATGAAGGCGCGTCTAAGACATAATACCCATACATACATATGTGTGCATAGTGACGTGTTTAAGTGTTAGGTTTAATCAAAATATCTTAGAAAACAGAATATTTCGCTATACAAAACTCATTTTTCGTCTGGTTCTTCCTATAATTCTATATAATATGATTCGATATGGTTCTTATGTAAGCATCCTAGTTTAATTTGTAAATTCCTCGTCCTCGTCAACATATCTTCATAAACAAAAGCCACATAAGAACTTAATTCTCTACCGATCGTTCCTATGGCATTTTTATGATATAATGGTCCGAGTTTAGTAGGTTGTTGCATATATATGCGGAGCACAGTAATGATAATTAATAAATGCCGAGTTCGCTCAAGATGTCTTGATAAACAAAAAAGTTTTCCATACCAAAACCAACTTTTCGACCGATCGATCCTATGGAATGTATATGATATAGTGGTCCGATCGGGCCGGAACCAACAAGTGTACGGACTTGTAAAAATGAGATTAGTTAGACGGACATGGCTATAACAATATACTTATATATACTTTATGGGCCGGACTGTGCTCTAGTCGAGGTTGCCCGACTAGAAGATACCCTGTAACCAGCGTTCACACATAGCTTCCCTATCCTGCGGCACCACAGATATTTATATATAGAAGATATTATAAGGAAACCAAAATAATAACTTTTACGTGTGATATACGAGAATATACAACAAAATAAAACCCTCGCAAAGAATGTTTTCAAAAGCGTCTAAAATCTATTTCTGAGAATACATTTTTAGTTTTTAGAAAAAGAGCGCATCATTTTAGAAGAAAGGAAATGTAATTTTTTAACGCCTTTTCAACTATTAAAGGTGCCTTGTGAAAAACTTAAACTTATTAATATATTTTGAGCTTTCACCTTTTTAGAAGAGAGAATTTTAGAAGAGGGGTTTCTTTTATTACCCCGTACTCATTAAGATGAAGAAAATGGTATACTACAAATGTATACAAATGTATGTGGCTAATCGAAAATTGTTATTTATTTATCGTTTTGGCGAATAGTATGCACATACATATATATATATATATTTTAAAGCTTATTGCACCCGACTGCAACATTGCATTTGGTTTCGGATTCAACTTTGCCAGTTGGCTGACCCCATCAGATAGAGAGAAAGAGAGAGAGAAAGAGAGAGAGAGAGAGAGAGAGAGAGAGTTACATACTTCGCCTACATACCTACGAGGCGAATCCTATAAATACCTGACAGTATTTCGTATTATGTCCTCCTTCCCCGTCATTGTAAATATCCCAAGCTAACATATTTCGCAGTCTTCGCTTGGTAGAGATCAGATGGTAAAGATCGATTCCAGCTCCGAAAATAAAACAAATTGAACTAAAAGATATATCATCGTAGTCCGCTAATGTTAAGATTTGTCTCGTGTGTAAAGAGCGTACGGAAACTAAAATATTGACGAGTTTCCTCGAGATAAGTTTAATTTTCGACCGATCATATATACTGTCCGCAAAAGAAAGACGCACCTAGGCAAAGATTCATTAGCTTTAGCTAATCGAAGATTAGCTGTCGAAGATTTTTCCTTCTATGCGTTACAAGTTAGAACATTTTTCCAGTTATACGGGGATAATACAACGTATGCAGAATCATGGACAGTCTGTTGGACTCAATGATGAGCCGGGCGTAGATGGTAGATGTTAAATCTTAATTTTATTTAACTTAATTGTCTTAAGCACAAGGTGAGCATAATAGAGTAGATACCGAAAAGTATGTTCTATGGCACCTATGGGGTATGAATAGTGTCTGCTTTTAATAAGAAGTTGGTGGCAACAGGATATATCTATGTCCCATCTATTCAGCTATAAAAGTAACAGAGCTCTTCGATATGGATCCTTTAACTCAGCTCATCGTCCTGACATACTATATTGCTTAGCCACGCCCATCCGGGAAAGGCAATTGCAAACGCAGTTTAAGCATTCAACCGGTTCGTATCTGGACTTCCAAACGCATTTCCCTAAAAACAGCCGAGCCGCAATTGAAACATATATTTGTCCAAAAGATTTTTGACCTTTCGAGAACCATTCTCCCAAAGCAAAAATATTTTGGGCGCATCAATTGATTTTCTTAACATATAAATGAAGGTTTAACAAGTAAGAGAGCTCCAAAGAGACCCAAAGCCTTCTTCTATCAAGTCCAAATGCAGCTCGTTCTAAAATTAAAGATACTTGATCTATATATAGTAATCTAGAAGGTATTTGGCAAATTGTCGATTCTAGCCATTAAAACCAAAGTGATATGTTTCGTTATCGATTTTAATAGGCAAGATATCGATTTTAATCGGCAAGTTATCGAAAATACAATTGCACTTTTTATCCATTTTCAATGGGCTCAGGGTATAAAAGACAAGGATGTGTAAAACCGAGTTGATCTAGTCCTTTTCGGTTGTCTGTTAATCGGTTTGCATACATCAATCACAGACTTTTAGAGCTTCAAATTAATTGTTGGTTCTCTTTGAGAACGTAAATAAAGTTCATTCTAAATCTTCAATAACTTCTTTCGTTTTCTTGAAATCATTAATTATCTACATTCAACCCGCTTTCTTATACCCTTGTGAGGGTATAATCATTATACCCTGAACCCATTAAAAATGGGTAAACAGGGTATTATGTATTTGTGCAAATGTATGTAACAGCCAGAAGGAAGCATCTCCGACCCCATAAAGTATATATATTCTTGATCAGCATCAATAGCCAAGTCTATCTAGCCATGTCCGTCTGTCTGTCTATCCGTCTGTCCGCCTGTCCGTATGTATGAATGCAAGGATCTCAGAACCTATAAGAGCTAGAGACTTGAAATTTTAACTGTAGGTCCTCCTAGTCCCCGCGCAGATCGAGTTTCGATAAATTGTCCCGTTTTCAAGTAATCGATAAAAATCGATATCGAAATCTTGTTTTTTGAGTCACCAAACTTAATATGTAACTTCTAGAATAGTATATATATATCAAGTATCTTTCATTTTATACCTATCGCCTGTTGGAAGATGAAGAGGGTTCAGGGTATCCCCTAGTCGGGAGCTCCCGACTAGAACCTTTTACATGTTTTTTCATAAAAAGTGTAACCTATACAAAAGGTGACAGCCCCGACCTTATAGAGCATATTGTTAGTCCATGTACCTTTGTTCGTCTGTCTGCGTTGAATGCAAACTAGTTTCTCAGTTTCTGAAAGCTATCGTTCTGAAACTAAGAACAGATCTGCATTTCTGTGTAGTCCGGATCGGACATCTATATCAAAATCTCATTTTTTACTTAAGATATTTGGCCAAACTCGACTTTTATTCATATCTCTAAACTCTACATAAAAGCTTAGTCCCTTTCAATATCGGACCATATATCATATAGCTGCCATAGCATTGTTCGTTTAAAAGCGACCTTAGCCAAAGTCTTACTACGCTGAAGATTGAATAGAATTGAGTGGAAATACATATTTACATATACATAAGTTAGCTTTAATCATTTGACAGGTGTTTTATACATTTTTGGCTAAATCCATCCTTTGGTGGAAATGTGGTTCAAGCTCATATCCAAGGATCTTTATGAAAATATTGGAAAATGCGATTCAAAGATTTTTCGGGCGATGTTTTATGTTGAAGTTAAATTAACGAATGTTTATTTTTCTACTTCAATCTTAAGAACACGGAATTAAAACGGATAGTAAATATAGTAGGAATTAATTTAAAATTAAAGTTTTCGCGGTCGGGAAATGGGTGAAAATGTGTTTTTACCATCTTTGATCTTTATGGTTTTGTAAGCTTAGATGGAAAATGAGTGAAAATTGAGTGAAAGAAAATTTATTTTTCGGCTTCAAGATTCTCACCGTTCGATGGACTTTGAACTTAGTTCCAAACATTTATGTAAAATATTACTCTAAGAGGAAGACTTAAATTTAAAATGGGTGATAGAAATGGTTCAAAAAAAGTTTCATTATTATCCTTTGATTGTTCTTTCCACTTTCCACATTCGCGCTGTTGAGTACATTTAATATTTTATGGGATGGTTCTCGTATATTATCTTCGGATAATTCGTAAGAAAGTTGATATCTTCGACACACATAGATACAAAATTAAAAACTTATGTGAATACATTTTTAAGTGTGGCACAAGCTCTGCCTAAAAAGTAAAACTTTTTGACATGGAATACTCTTTTATCCAAGACATTTTTTAATTTTTGTGCCCATAAAATGTTAAAAATAACACAAATCCAACACGAAATTGATTAAAGACTAAACTTAAATATCTATACTTATACCTTATATGAACATAATATAAATGCTATAAATGCTGTTTCACGTTTAACTTACAGATATAACTTTGTAAAAAAGGAACTTGATGTTTGCGATTCGGCATTAGCGCGTATTCGCGTAAGGAGTTGTTCAAATCTGGTGGATTCGCTTGGAGCGACATGGACGGCAAAGCTTTCGAACAGGATACCCACATAAGGTTAAATGGAGCGGAGTTAAGAACACGCGAGGCGATATTTAAATAATTTAGGTAACACCCAAGTAGTGCCAACATCCTGAAGAGTTAAACCATGCCGCATACACATACGCGTCATGGATCATCCGGGGATGATTTAGGCAGCACGGACGAAGTAAAAATATTTAAGGATGAAGGCGATCGCGAGGATGAGAAAATATCATCCGAGAACCTTTTAGTCGAAGAAAAATCAAGCCTCATTGATTTAACAGAGAGTGAGGTATGATATCAATGGCATTATAAAACACAAACTTTCGTATCCTCAATTAAAGGTGGCTGCTTTGAAATTGACTTATTTTTCAACTAACTTTTCACGACGAAATAAGCCTTCAATACAAAACTGTCTAAAACTTACCCTGCTATTTGGGATTCTGTAATCTTTACCATACCTATAATCGCGACTTATCGGAATTTATACATACATATAATTTTAATTTTAATTCAACATTATTGAGATACACTTTGAAACCAGTTCGTTGAGTAAATCAGTCCTAGGTATACATACTCGAGTATATCCCCGTTACAGAAAATTTTACAATTTTCGCGGTCGATCCTATATTTTCTAAAGACTCAACGGTGGAGTGACCAAATTTCAAATGAAGACTACTGATAACCTCTTCTAAAGATCGATCAATACATACTTTCTCGACGCCTTTATGTCTTTTATAAAATTTAAAGTTAAAAGCCAGAAGGAAGCATCTCCGACCCCATAAAGCTTATACATATATTCCTGGTCAGCATCAATAGTCGAGTCGTCTGTCTGCCTGACGATATCATAATATGGACTTGGAGCATATCTCTTAGGTTTCAGGAGCTTGAAATCACCAAATTTTAATTTTTAAATGCCGCTCCCCCCCCCTTTACGCAATATCCAATAATAACAAGTAAGAGGTTCTAGCCGGGAGCTCCCGACTAGGGGATACCGTGAGCCTTCCTCTTCTTCCAACAGGCGATAGGTATATAAAATGAAAGATACTTGATATATATATACTATTCTAGAAGCTACATATCAAGTTTGGTGACTCTAGCTCTTATTATTTGCCGAAATTGCTCAAAATATCGTATATCGAAAACAAACTCGATCTGCGCGGGGACTAGGAGGACCTACAGCTAAACAGACAGACGGACATGGCTAGATCGACTCGGCTATATATATATATATATATATATATATATATATATAGACTTTATGGGGTCGGAGATGCTTACATACATATGCACACATACATTATACCCTGTTTACCCATTTTCAATGGGTTCAGGGTATAAAAAAGACTCCAATTAGAACAGCATATGATGAATTTGATGCATATTTTATGGCATTTCTTAATAGAACGCAGAAAAACTTATCACGATCGGCAACTTGGAAGATTAGAGACAACGTGGCCAAGGCACGTGGAACAACTTCTGTTTACACACGCACACATTCATTCATTCATATGCGTGTCGTATTTGAATTCTATAAATAGAATTCCGTTTCTTTTCTATAAAAGTTCAATTCGTATTACATTTATTTAAAAAAACTGCTCACTTTGTCCAATTTTAATGGGCTAAAAAAAAAAGTGCATTTGGTATTCGTGCAGGGTATCCTCTAGTCGGGCACTCTGATTGCTTAAACTATTTTTGGGCAGCGAATGTCTACGGCAAAGTCCATTACAACAAGGCAAAAGGGCTAAATTTGGCACGCCGACGATTAAATACCCTTACAGACATTTGGCTTGCGGCAAAGCAGATAAATATGTATGTATGTGAAATATGTGGAAAATGATACTGATCAATAATATATGTATGTATATTTTCTATGGGGAGTAGATATCTCCTTCAACAGGAATTTACACATTTGTTCTAACACACAATATATTGAGAATAATTACTAATCAAAAAAAACTATAACTATCTTTTCTTCACCTAGGAAAAGGGCAGCAAGACAGTGACGAGGCCGGATCACAGTCCCGTATTTAGTAAGTACAATATAAAATTAAAACTTTTATCTTTGACTGAAATTTTACATACATATATCCTTAAAAGAAAAAATTCTTTAATTTAAAGAAAAGAAAGTTCGAGTATAAAAAATAATATTAGTAATAGATGAGGGTAATTAAGTTGTTTAATTGAATTAAGTAGTTGCGTACAGGGTATGTAACCAAGTACGTAAGCTCGCAGCCGAGTGCAGTGCATATCCTAGTTGGACGGCGGACACTCTCGATTAAAAATTCTCGTGCATGCATACGTATGTATGTATGTATGTATATGCACGTACGTAAGTGCATACATATGCCTCTGCGCCTGTGCATTCAAGTATGTATGTATGTATGCGTATGCGTTATGTGCTGTTTTTATAAACAAACTAAAAAAGACGGCAAAAAACATGTGCTCACATTTGAAGGCAAAGCCGTAGTTGGCGTGGGGCAGATAAATAACCGGCTGCTGCAGTCACCGTCGCCGTCGCCGTCGTCGTCGCCGTCGCGGTCGCCGCTGACTGTAACTTTAGCATCCGTTCCATAGTGCTAACAAGGTGATGCAGATCGGCTCGTCGCTACTTCATTTCTTGTTTTTGTGTTTTTCTGTTTTCTGTTTTTCTGTTTTCTGTTGGCTATATTTTGCTTTCTTTCGGCCGTCAGCGGTTTATGTACCCTGTCTGTGTGAGTACATGCACATGCACATACATACATATATGTGTGTGTATATGCGCGCGCGTGTCTGTGTGGAAGTTCTCTTAAAAAGATCGAGTAAACAAATAAAGCGAGTGTGTATTTGTATTTGTTTTGGGTATATGTTTTTATATATGTATGTATGTACTTGCTTGAGATCGTATGTGTGTGTGTTTCTGTATTTCTGAAAGTTTATTTGTGTGTTGGACATGAACCCAAATGCAACGACACACACACACACACACACACACACACACACACACACTCTTACATGCATATCTTCATACGAACGATCGGAATTCAATTTGTTTGCAGTTCATAATCTTTTCAAAATCATATACTAATAATAATAATAATTCTAGACCGACCTACCACAAACTATCGCCCCTTCTTCCCGCCACGTCCACAAGTCATGTCTTCAATAGAACAGCCTGTACCACGTGTTCTCTAATCAACAATCTTCCCCTAATCAAATCTATACTTCCAGTATACCTTTTACACTTCACTTATCCATACCCAGCTATGAGTTTACTCAACTCTTAGCTCTGTCTTTTTATTTAATATTTCATAAACATTTTTGTCCCCAACTCGCTTTTCTCTCCATTTGATATTATATATTTTTCTACTCTAGTTATGTATCTATTTTCTTTATCTTTTTCAAGTCGATTAGTATTATCTCCATTTGCATTGTTATTAGACAATTTTGTATTCTGATCAGGCTTTTAACTTTAATTGTTCTATTATAATTCTCAAAAACAAGCTCGTTTTGTCGACTGTTAATAAAATAAAAAATGAATGCCTGTAGAGATACCACGCAATTCAACATACAGAGGATCCTAAATAACTAAAGGAAGTTTCATGAATTTCTGTTTAGTTTATTATTGCCCGGTTTTGCCCGTGCAAAATATATTTAATTTAATTTTGAGTTTTTTTTTTTTGGAATAGATGAAAAATTAAAAATTTCCGTGCAAACATTTCTACTAAAACAGAAGAAGTTTTTTAAACCATGTCGAATATATGTACATACATAGTCGTTCATAAAAGTAAAATATATTTGTTTTTCCGAGAATTACATTCCAAAAAGTGAAATACTCTTAATCTGCGAATGCTTTGCAGTACAAATATACATACATATTTATTTTTTATGCTTATCTCGATTTATGCTTCAAAAATCAAGTCTTCATGCGGTATTTATTGGTAATATGGAAATGGTAGAATATTTTGAACAAAATAATGTTATTGATTTGCGAATCATAAGCGAGTCTCTAGATTTTAGGGTTTTTAGATCGACGGATCCAACAGAACGTAGCTCATCGACCTGATGAAGAATACTATTATACTTTATAGGATCCGATTTCATTTTATCTTGAGGCTGGAGCAGTAACATTAATAATCTTATTTAGGGTAAGTTGAAAGAGTATAGGAAGTCAGATGACAATTTTGTGATTACAATTACACCTCCAAAATATTGCAAATTTCTACGTGTGCCCTTGATAATTACATATGTATATATTTTTGGTTGTCAATAGCTTGAAATAAACATGAGCCTGGTTAAGTTAGCTTTATAAACAAGTGTTTTTTTTTTTCTTAACTTTGCACAAGGATCTACTGGAAAGAAATATTAGGAAGTCCGTTCCGAACCGGTTTTTAGCCGTGCCTAAGAAATATTATATTATGCACATACATATATTTGTACATATGTACATATATGTATGTGCATTCGACATACATATGTTTGGGTAGTAAATGGCGATAAAAAGTAAATATGTAAATTCATATGCACATACATACACACATACATATGCACGTATGCATGTATGTATGTATGTAGGTATGTATGTGTTTTAGTAGTCTGCGAATACGACGGGCCTGCGTTGTGCTAAACATAACTTGTTAACAACGCGTTGTCGTCTCTGTCTCCGCTTTAAAGCCCATAACAAAACAGTTAACGAGCTTTTTACCTTCTTACTTCTTTGACCATTGAAGGAGATTCTGCGGAACAATGTTCATTCCAAGCGTTAAAAAAAATGACCACGAGGCGTAATCAGCCATGGGCTTAGGCGATCCCAGATTTAAAGGGGGATCCTAAATGGGCTAAACGTCTCCCCTGCGGGGGCTCTAATTAAACATTGATGTTCTACAAACGAACATTCATATATCCATATACATACATACATGCATAAAAAGCTTAACCTGTATCCTTAAAACATGCGACGGCACTGTAAGATGCTAGGCCTGTTTCTCAGCACTGGAGTGCATTTAAAACAAAGGTTTATGTAAATACATGTTAACACAGACACACACACATATATATGTATCAAAAGTATATATATATGTATAATAATGTGCTATTGAGGACAAACGCAGATTCTGACATATATATAAACATATAAATATACATATACATATACATATACATATGCATATACATATACATATACATATACATATGCATATACATATACATATACATATACATATATGTACATATACATATACATATACAATGTATATACAATGGAAGCTCCCATTATCCAGCTATGTGAGATGTCCGGTTATGGGAGATGGCCGCTTATGATCAAGATACAATTTTTGTACATATATTTTAATCGTTTTAATGTAGTTAAAAATTGGAAAACAATTTTTTATTTTTTCCAATATTTCCAGAAATTATTTTTTAAAAAACAGTAACTTTATCTCTGCCATTTCACGCATCGACAAATAGTTTTTTTTTTTATCAGAAAAATTGATTGAATCCATTTCAAAATCCATTCCTAAAATATAGCATAAATATATGTATGAATTTTTTCTGAATCATCAATTCCATTGACATCAATACAAATAATTTAAAGCTTTTGTCCGCTTATGAGGGATGATTTGTGCAATATTATGAATTTGCTCTGTTATGGGTGATTTCCGCTACGAAAGCTTTCACTGAATATGATTTATTACCGTTGTAATACATATTTGTACATAGATAAATTGGTTTCCATAAAAATACCAAAAAGTGATCATATGTATGTAACATAGTTGTGCGAGGGCTCGATCGTAGGCTGCGATTAAATCTGCACGTCAATAATTTGAACAATAGCGTCTAACGCATAACCGCAGATAAAACAATTCACCGGAATGTTCATAATTTTGAGGTGAAAATCAATACGTCGATAGTTGTAAATTAAAACAATATTGAGGTAGATTTCCCACTGTGCGGCGATCAGTTTGATTTCTTAAGTATACAAAATATGAATGTGTGTAAGCATGTATGCATGCGTACGTACATACATACATATAAACGTACAGATATGTACGTAAAATTGTATACATACATACATACATATCCCTTCTGCTTGCATGCATACAAGCATTAATGTTATGTTGTTCGTGTGTGCGTACATACAAACATACATACATACATATACCCAAATACGTCTGTGGTAGTATTGTGTATCCTTGGAAATTAATGAGTTTTCGTAGAATCGACGGTCTCGTTCCGTTCGTGCTGCCGTTGCCGATGCCGATGCCGACGCTGACGGCGCTGCCGGTGTTGAAATTGTTAGTGTGCTGTTGATGTTTGGCGTTCTCGCTAGTTGGCAGACGCTTGTTGTCTCGAGAACGCGTGGATTATTTTGTTACCCATTACTTTTCGTACCTTCTTTGCTGCTTCTGCTTCTGCTCTGCTGCTGCTGCTGCCTCCGCTGCCGGTCTGCTGCTGGGCTGCTGTGTTTGCCTTAGCTAATTCTCATTCCGTGCTTACGGCTTCCTTCTCCTCCACATTTTGATTTAAGATATATTTTGTTTTGTTTTTGTGTACTTCTCGTTTTTATCACCATTTTAGGGTATTTTAGCGAGTCTTTTTTGTGCTTGTTTTTCTAACAAGCTGTGAATTATTTAATGATACGACTCGGGTATTCTTCTTCGATGTTAACATCATCTCGTGTCTTTATATACATATACACTTCTATCCGTTTGGCTCTGACCACCGCACACACACATACATACATACATATCCACTAACAAAATAAGCGGGTACAACATACATACATATGTACATGTACATACATTCAAATATAATAGGTTAATAGATGCCAACTCTGATCCAGGCCCTCCAAAAGAGATTCGCACATACACATGTACATATACATATGTATGTGCATATGTACATATGTATGTATCGCGGAATTATTGACTTCCGACTTTTAGCAATTCAATGATTAAAATCACAGAGATCAAATCAAATAGGGTTTAAAAAAAAATTACGTATTTAGGTAGTTACACTGGAGAGTGTTCTTATATGTATGTATGTATGTACATATCGATCATGATCAAAAATAAAACGAATAAAGTAAATTCACAATATTATGAAATGCCTAAAGATTTCCATTTGAAGCTTTTGTGTACAGTGGGCCTATCTGCAATACCCATATACATATGTACATATGCGCACATATTTTTGTAGCGATCCTGTGCATACATATGTACATATGTATGTATGTACATACTTATGATCAAATGACAACTATGTCATCACAGAGCACTTGAAATTAGTTTTGTACAGTGAAAACAAACTAACGAGCACTCCAGTTTCCCCCCTCTTAGGCGGACACTTTTGATCAAACAATTATTATTTTTATTTTGCTGTACAATTTTACATGTTTTATACGGCAATTAGCTCTGTTAGCCGGACGCGGATCTTTTTGTCTGTTGATAATTCTGTGCTCGAGGCAAATAAAGATGATCCAGAGCAGATTGTCTGAGTACTGATACTGAAGACAACCATATTATGAATACAAGAGATACACTTAAATAGAGACGATTGAGTAAATTATCTGCGGATATGCAAAATTGACTTTTGGAGGGAATACATTACGTCTTAAGTTCAGAAATCTATACTATGATACTGAAAATATTGTTTGTCTCTCTAGAAATGTGTTTAGTATATTGTATTTATTTTCTTTATTATATGTTACAATAATTATTTAGTTTGTACAAATGTAAACGTATTATTCATCTATAAAGTGGATCTCATTTAAGCGCGTATTTAACGCTCTTCAATATAACAATTATTAAGACACCCAAAATGCCCTCTCTCTCTCTCTCTCTCTCTCTCTCTCTCTCTCGGTCCGTTCAAGAGAGTTTCCACTGTAATAAAAATAAATTTACTAGGTTGTCTGCCTGGCATAATTAATCGTCAAGCCACAAGAGCACACATACATACATGGATTCATATGCACACATACATTAACATGTATATACTTGCTTAGGAGTGTGCGTAAATACATGAGTGTATTCACGTCTTCTCACTTTAATTCAATTGGTCTTGGTCATTCCCAGTTCTAATACCCTATACTCATTGATCTTAGAGCATATAGAGCTAGTAGCTCTTAAGGGGTTAGATACACAAAATATGGTAGGAACCTACATATATAGGTTCCTGTTTGGTAATGACAGATCAGGAATATTTAATTTTTGTTTACACACATTTGGATTGCCATATTACAGTATTTGGAATGGGTACAGGGTATCTCCTCTCGACTATAGCACTTTTGATTATTTGTATTAGATTAATAAAAGAGAGAGAGAGAGAGAGAGATATTTTTGTATAAGTGAGAATATGTCTGTCGTCAAGCTAACTTACATAAATGCTTAAATGCATTGATAATTGTTTTTTAAGTAGAAGGAACACTAATTGATATAGACAGTAAAAACAATTTAAACAACTAATTAAGTTTAGAGCACAAATAGTTAGCTAGGTATGTATGTATGTATACGGACCGAAGTCTTTATGCAGGGAACTGATCCCACATTAACGACTTTCTCTTCAATAATTGATACCAACTAATCAATCTTAATGATAACTATGTATGTGATAATGTACTCCGTGTACTCTAAACACGTGTATTTCGTGTAAATGCGCTGTGATCCTGCTATTTGAATCTCTTCCTCATTATGGAAAGTTTATTCTTTCATAATGCTGATGGTTCGATAGTTGAGAGATTTTTATTGCACGAATACACAGACTATATCTCTGAAAATGAGGTTTTCAATTTATAAGTATAAATTATAAATATATTATTAATATTGTCTTGTTCTTAACTTATTTTTCATAAACACAGAGTATGAAAAAAGGGCCAAAAATAAGGAAGCATTTCCGATCTAATAAAGTACATATATGTTTTATTTCATCCGTCCGTTTTTCTGCAAGAACTTGTCGATCTTTGGAACTATTAAAAATGATTAATTTTAAATACATATGTATTCTTGTAATTCATATGCAGACCCGGCTAATAATTTTTGATAGCTTTCCTCATTTTCAAATATTGATAAGTAGTCGATATCGATTAATATAGCAAGATATACCCAGTTTGGCTTGGAGGTTCTCGTTTACTAAACACAGATAGGAATATTTCACCTCTTTTCCCCAAAAACGTATATATTTAACTTTTTGAGGCCTAGCTTGGGACTGTGGCATCTAAACAGATTTGAACGTTGTATAATGTTTGGACATGAATGTCAAAGTAGACATTACATTTTTATCGATTAAGTATAACATTTATGAAAATCGATTTTTATCGGTTATTATTAGACGTACAATTATTTCATCACCTTCATCTTATCTTATTTTAGATAAACTCGAGCCTCATACACCTACATTCAATATGGGATATCTTGTATCACCGTACTCGTATGCTAATGGTGCGCCCGGTGGACTGCCGGTAACTATGGTAAGTTTTCTTTATATATGTATATATATTTTTTGCTAACCTATTACGGCCAGGATACACATATATACAGTTCAAAATTAGGGCTTTCAAAGATCTGCATACAAGAACTTAGTTTCAGCAGACAGACTATGCATAATTATAATACCCTCTACTAGAGAGGTGCAATTTCAAAGAGGGGCGCAATCATCCAGATTCAAATTTAAATCCATAGTGCCACAGCCTTGGCACTTTGAATAGCCAAAACTTGCATCTGATATAAATACTCTTTTATTTTAAATGTTTACAATGTTCAATAAACAAAGAAACAGTTCTCTAAGTAGAGCTCCCATCTAGAAGAATCCCTACAACACTTTCCGACCTGCCTTAGCATAAATTTGAACTTACATATATAATATATATCTATATATAAAAGTGTATATATCTACATATATATATACATATATACAAACAGTTTTGTCCTGACTGACTGACTGACTGACTGATTGGTGATCAACGCACAGCCCGTACCGTAAAAGCTAGGAAGTTGAAATTTTAACTGTACTTAAGACGGGGTTTCGGGAAATTCAGGAAACCCGCATGTGTGGAAAAATCGCAAAAATCCTTTATATGAAACTTTTTGTTAACCATCCCATCAAACTCATTTTGAAAGGTCTTTGTTCAAAACAATTTGAGGGCTGTTTCGCACTATTCGGAAAATGCATTCTTCCTTCGTGGAAATGGAGGTCAAAGATTTGGTGGGTGACATTTTGCGGTAAAATCCAAGGATCTTTATGAAAAATCATTTGAGACGTGTTTTTCACTTTTCGCAGAATCCAAACTTCTTTTGTGGAAAGTGCGATTCAAAGATTTTTTGGGCGAACTTGTAAGTTTTGATTTAGAAAATTTGCCGATAATACTTAACTTAACTTTTTGGTTTATTATCGGTTTCAAACTCATTTTCAAAGATTTTTATCGGAATTTATTTGACACGCCTTCGCAAAGTTCACCTCTATTGGATCAAAAATGCGAATCTGTAAACGCAAGTTTTTAATTCGGCCCCAAGATTCTTACCACAAGATTTGGTTCTTTATCCGATTCACTTAAAACATCTTTTTAAATAGAAGTGGAGATTAAAATGGTACGGGTAGATACAAATTTTCAACAGGCGTGTACTAAAATGTGTGGCACAAAACGTTCCATGGGCAAGGCCGGGCAATACCCGCTAGTATCTTTATATATATAAAACAAGTAAGATGTTCTAGACGGGAGCTCCCGACTAGGGTAACCCTGAGCCCTCTTCTATATCCTGAGCCCTCTAGGCATAAAATGAAAGATACTTGATATATATATATATACTATTCTAGAAGCTACATGTCAAGTTTGGTGACTCTAGCTCTTATTATTTTCCAAAATTGCTCAAAAAACAGGATTTCGATATCGATTTTTATCGATTACTTGGAAACGGGGCAAGTTATCGACTATCGGAAACAAAATCGATCTTCACGGGCACTAGTAGGCCCTACAGCAAAAGTTTAAGTCTCTAGCTCTTAAAGGTTCTGAGATCTTTGCGTTCATACACACGGACAGACGGACGGACATGGCTAGATGGACGCGGCTGTTGATGCTGATCAAGAATATATATACTTTCTGCCTGTTACATACATTTGCACAAATACATTATACCCTTTTTACCAATTTTTAATGGTTTCAGAGTATACAAAAAATGTATCCAAAAAGTTCAATATTGTTGACCCGAGAATCTTTATTCAACATTTGATATCTCTGGAGAATCAAATAATTGATATATGTATCAAGGATGGAATTCGATTATCATCGATTTCCCGGAATACAACTCTGCCAGATCGTAATAATGTAAAATTTCATTTTACCTTCAAATAATCCGAACATTTTCACTCACCAATTGGATTCCTATACAGCTTTTATCAAGTCCACACTGGATTTGCTTGGATTACATACCTAAAAACCATAAATCAAAAGAGGAAGACTTTTCGCTGTAAGAGCATTAGGAAACATGAATACAAACATAAATGCGTGGGACGGGGCTGGGGGAGGAAGCAAATCAATTCCCTTAATAAGTATAATCTGACAGGTAGAATACATTGTATTCTTCTTGTCTCTTTCGTGTTTTGTACATGCAAGTATTGCATAAAAGAAGGTTAAGGGTCACTTTATTTTCATAGGCTTATCCTTATAATAATAACTTTTATCATTTTTCGGGTTGTTGACAAAACAACAAATCTATTCTGTGCGCTAAATGGACGAGAATTCATACACTTAGTGTAAATGTATGGACGATAGAAAACTACTTGTTAATTTAATTTGAGGTTTGTAGAAATTGTTAACATTTATTAAATAACACTTTTCAGCGCTACTCTCGATAATTATAGACGTAAGAAAATGCGTGGAAGCCAAGGGAGAGCTGTTTTTTTATAGGGGCGGATCGCTTTATCAGCACGTACTAACACAATAAAATGTCAAGGGTTGACAATATAACTCGTACTCTCAAATAAACGTGTAGCGTCCGAAATGTAGTGCAACGAAATGGTAATTACTTTTAAGGTTTTTTCGATAGGCTATTAGGGGAGGTTTTTCATACTGTGACGATTTATCTTCTTCCTTTTTACACACTCAACCCATTTTCAATGGGTAAAAAGGGTATAATAATTTTGTGCAGAAGGAAGGAAGAAGCCGGCAAAAGGAAGCATCTCCGACCCATGAACGCGCCGGTCGCAAATCCTATATCGAGCTTAAGACTTGAAATTGAATTGAACGTAGGTCCTCCCGCGTAGTACGAGATTGTTTCTGATAGTCGATAGGTTGCCCCGTTTTCAAGAAACCGATAAAAATCGATATCGAATTCCTGGTTTTTGAGCAAATCTCATAGGTTTTGAGAGCTACAGTCACCAACCCTGAAACATAGCTTCTAGCTAGTATATACAGACCAGATCAATATCTCAATATCTATAAATCAGATAAATACTCAATTGAAACTACCCACCAATTAAAGCCACAATTTTAATGCCTAAGTCCTTATGAGCATATACGAATATTCTATAGCGCAAAAAGGTCTACTGCTGAAAATTTGATTAAGATCGGCGAAGAAACACAGAACTTATTAAAGAAAATATGCTTTAACAGTGGCAAGCCACGTGTTAACGCGAGGTGTATTTGGTATTGGTAAAAGAAGATTCAGTGTATCCCCTAATTGGGCGTTCCCGGTTAGAGCATTTTGGTTGATTTCCTTAGTATTCTTCGGATAGAAGTTTGGTACAAAATTTCTATAGGATCTTGTCGAAAGTTGATATCGTCTTGCCCAGAACGATCAAAATAGTCATCAAGAGTAATGGTCGATATGCCGGGTACATAATGTGTGCTAAATAATCAAACACTCCTTTTACAAACGGTAATGCCCGACTAGGCAATACCCTAAACCTTGCGTTGAGCTACCTTTACAAAATGTGAATTATGGTTTCGTGTATGTTATACCAGAGTCTACATCTCCGTGACAGCCTTGTGTGAAACTAACTATGAAGTCCATCGCACAAGGAACCAAAAGCTGGAATGGGCGGATTCCATGTTAGAATTGTGGTGACAATCTTGAAGCGGGTTTCATCCAATAGTTATGTATTTTGCTTTGAAACTAAGTTTGAACCTGGCCGCTGAATCCTAAACAAAATATGTGCTAATTTTCTGCAAATTTCCACACTTGCGGGTGGAATGTTGGATTTCATATTCAGTAAGTTTTTATGAAGAGCTTTAAATAGGACGAAACTTGAAACTTCTCCTCAAGATAATCATGGACCAGCGCTTTTCAACGACAAGGCTTGGGTTTTGCGAATTTTCTGTTAAATACGTCTTAAATATAGTTGAATTTTCCTTAACATCTTTGAAAATGAGTTCGAAGCCGATCGGATGTTGAAAAGAAAACGTTCAAAAAACTGTTTTCTACCAATATACCACAGTTTCGGGTGGAAAAATTACTGAGACACGTATTCATTAAATTCTTAAAAAGTTAAAAAACAAAATAAAACTTTGAAAAAAAAATGAATTGAATCGCATTTTCTTTTGGGTTGGCATCGCGTGTTAGCTCATTTCCAAAGATCTTTGTGAAATTCGGAAAATGGGGGTCAAAGGTTATATAGTCGAAGATTTTAGTTTTTTCCAGCCAAGTTCAAAATGAATTCTAAAACTCTGGTATCCAACTCATGTTCAACGATCTTTTGTAGAAATTCATTAAATACGACTTAACACTTTTTGCGAAATCAACAAACTTTTGGTTGGAAAATGCGGGCCAAAGGTTGTATGAAGGAATGTTTATTTTCCTGCTTCAAGATTCTTTCTAAGTGCGCAAAAACGATAATTCCATATTTTAGATCTTTATTCGAATCTCATTTTAAAATATCTATGTTAAATATACCTTTAGACGCAGAATAAAAGACAGGTGTAGATAATAATCGGGATGGGAAATAAATGTGTTAAGTTTATATCAAAACCAAAATTGAACCACGCAAAGGGCGGGAAATACTATTAGTGTATCTATACTTGTTGAGCATGTCCTAAAAAAGCAACCAAAAAAAGGAACAACAAATAATTCAATTTACTAAATACGGAAAAGCCGTGGTTGCAGGACTATTGACAAAACGACAAACGAAGCGTTCGGATTGGGAACGGATATATTAGGTTAACTGAACTGAAGCTGATGTGAAGCTGAACGCCAATTGAAGGTAGTGTCAATTTAATTTCTGGCATATTTGCACTCCGTATTATTAAGTAAACCGAATCGCCAAGCAGAATAGAAAAAAAAAACAAAAATACACAGAGACCAGAAAACTATATATGGATTCAGAAGGGCCAGCTTGCCTAATGCTCCTTTTACCACAGCACGCTTGGGTAATTTTTAGCTCACGGATTGGGCGGGGGGGAGTTTATCAAACATTAGTTTTGTCAGACGTTCTGTCGGGGTCCTATTTCAGACAATGATAACAAAGGAAGGTTAAGTA